AACAATCACAACTACAACCGCAATATCTATCATAACAACCACAACTGTAATTACCACAATAACAATTATCACGACAACTACAACAAAAATAACAATCATATCAATTACCACAAGTACAACAACAACACAATAACAACAATTGCAACATAACAACAACTCTCCTCAGTATCCCTCACTCCACAACACTCCATAACCCAACCTAAAATCCTACAACACAACACCTCACAACGGTACTATCAACACTCACAACTGCTACAACACCTACCAGACCACCTCCACAACCACACCTCAAAACAAATCACCCAGCTCACAACAACACACAACACCTCATACCAATTCATCAAAACAACAGCATAATAATAATAATAATAATAATAATAATAATAATAATAATAATAATAATAATAATAATAATAATAATAATAATAATAATAATAATATTAATAATATTAATAATATTAATAATAATAATATAATATAATAATAATAATAATAATAATAAAATATTAGTGTGTGTGTGTGTGTGTGTGTGTGTGTGTGTGTGTTATTATTAATAATAATAATAACAATGATAGTGTTTGTGTGTGTGTGTGTGTGTTGATGTGTGTAGTGTGTAATAATGTATAATAATAATAATGTGTGATATGTGTAACACTTCCAATCTGTCAATATGTTAACCACAGATAGACCTCCTACTCCTCCTCCTATTCCTCCTCCTCTTCTTCCCTTCCCTCCTTCCCCTTGTCCACCCTCCCTTTCCTATGTCTCCCTTCTCTTCCTCTTCCTCACCCCTCTCCCTGTCCTCCTCTCCATGCCTCCCCCCTCCCCACTAGACAGAGGCTGGACTTGCTCGCTGAAGTGGCAAACTGGTCTCACGCTCTCAACTGATGGATGGATACTCGATACAAAGCCAGTAATGACTATCGAAATTCGCGACAAAGACAGCAGCGTCAGCCTAAGTTTGAAGTGGACCGAAGCCGCTGCCGAGGACATCCAAACACGGCGAGCAACACAGAGAGAGAGAGTTTTGTTTAACAAATTTATTGGCAGAGCTTGTAGTACAGTTTGCCTGTTTCAAGTAATTCAGTCAGGTCTTGACACTGAGGGTGGTATCACTTCTCACTGCCACGCAGGACAGAGGTTCATACACAAAGAAATACATCATATTCATTAACAACTATAAATGTAGAGGTCAGATTCATATGGGTAATGTCACTGTTCACTGCCATGCAGGACAGAAGTTCGTACACAAAAGTGCATCATATTCATTGACAGTACATATACATATATGTAAAACACACACATATACATACATATACGTATATACATACACATACACACGTACGACATATACATACACACACACATACATACATATACGTCGGTCAGATTCATGTGGGTAATGTCACTTTTCACTGCCATACAGGACAGAGGTTCGTACACAAAAGAATGCATCATATTCATTGACACTATATATAGTCAGATTCATGTGGGTAATGCCTCTGTTCACTGCCATGCAGGACAGTGGTTCGTAAGAAGGAAATACATCACATTCACCAGCATATATAGGTCAGTGGATCACATACATTGAGTCATGTTCTAATTGAAGACTAATCAGTGTGGGCTAGCAAATTTGGGATACACAGCAAGAATGTCCTCAAGCACACATTCAATGAAGTAATTACAAAGTTCATGATACAATAAGCCAGGTGGCCTGAAGTCTTTGACAGTGTCACATTCAATAATATAGTGTTCAAGTGTATGCTTTAAAGTTTATCACAAACTTTACATGCGAGTGCTCCGGTATGGGTACAGCGTTACTAACTTGCAGATGTGTCTGTATCCTAGCCTAATTCTGGCCACGACTACATCACATTGTCTGGTTCTGTCCTTATGCTGGCCATACCGGTACCTCTTGTTACAAAATTGTCATATTTACTAATGCTACAACTGTCAGGTCTCTCTGCATTTCTCACTTCTTCTAGATCAGAGTTCATGATTCTGACTTGAATGTTTTTAATTACAGCATTGGACAGGCCAAGGTCACGGTCAACATTTTTCTTTCTTACATGCCTCATTGGCCAGTCTACACGGTCATGATACCTAATTCAACATGGGACGGAATCCACACAAATTCGATACGAAAGTTGTTCTCATTGGCAGTTATCACATTCCTTAATATCACACTTTAGACATAGAGCCTGACGGGCTGTTCATCGATTCCAAAGCACTTTGAAGTCACAGAATATCACCCCACCTCCATTTTCTTTGAGGTAGTCTGTGCTAAGTAGATTCCAGTTGAGAGAACGTATACAGTTTTGCGTGGTCATCATACACGTGGGTTTTGGTTAAAGAATCATTTATCCAATCATACCACTCAAATCATATTCCTTCGACAACACAGTAAAATAATTAACTGACTCGTCAAATCAACCCCGTCCAACCTTGACCCTCGTGAACTCAGGACAATAAACACAGATTAACTTGAATATTTATATAAAAATAATATAAATTGATTATATATATATTCTCTTTTACAATATTCAGTCCTCATCATCCTAAGCACTTTCCACTGTCCACTGCAAAAGCCATTCACATTTAATTAAATTTTCAAACATTTCCAAAATATACTCCCCATTATTTTTTATTAATTTTAAACTTCAATAAAAAATGTGGTTCATATATATATTGTGTTATATATATATTAAGAGTTCAGTAATAATGAAACCCGATTTTATTTCACGTCCAAAATTTTAATTCCATTATACGTCGCAGAGTATCAGGCCACCGTCAAAAAGGTGTGTGTTGTTGTTTGTGTGTGTTGGTCAAGGCCGCATTTATCCATATAGCATTTGGATATCGTGTGTGCAAAATTAGGTTGGCAGATAGTTTATTATAATTATTATTATTATTATTATTATTATTATTATATTATTTCTATTATAACTATTATATTCCATATTATTATTATTATTATTATTATAAAAAACCTAAAATGTAGACTATAGGAAGGAGAGGGGCGGGGAGGAAAGTCCATTCTTGATAAGGAAGAAATGAAGGAAGAAAGGAATGAAAAGAAGGAAGGAAGGAATGAAGGACGACCAACCTCTACCCAACTGAATGCCACAATCGTCCCATGCAACCTCCTCTCTTGTCAGGTCGCCTTTCACACGTTGACTAAATTTCCATTGCAAATTATGATATATATATATATATATATATATATATATATATATATATATATATATATATATATATATATATATATATATATATATATACTATAATAATGTGTGTGTGTGTGTGTGTGTGGGTGTGTGTGTGTGGGTGTGTGTGTGGGTGTGTGTGGGTGTGGGGTGTGTGGGTGTGTGTGCTGACTCCACTAACCCCAGGACAGTGTATCAAGTATAAAGCTGGGTGCTAGTAGTAGTATTATTATGTATTATTATTATTATTATTATTATTATTATATTTTAGTAACTATTATCGTTATTATTATTATTTTTATTACTATGTAATGACTAAGCGAGGTGGAGTTAGGTAGTTCGCTGTCACCATTGTAATGAGGGTTTTAAGGGTAGAAAATATAGAGAATATTTAGTAAGAGTCAAAGAGAAGACTTTGGTAGCGTGGCCGTGTTAGTTATTTACTCTGTCAATACACTTATCTTATCTTATACGTCAACATCTATTATGTTCTTAAGGACGACTTCTCAAACACCGCTTCGTTACAACTGTTTATTTATTACGAACATGACATGGACACATTAATAACACCTTCTATCAAGTTACTAGGACATTATGTTTACGTTACTAGGACATCATATTACGTTACTAGACACTGATTCTCGGACACAACATGAAATGAATACACTTCCCGTAAGTAACTCATCCCTGGAAAGCTCTGACAAAAACTCACGTGACCTGGGGAGGCCTAGCAGGTGGTCCTGGGTTGTCTCTATGGGAGACTGCTTAGCTGGGCACCAGAGGAAGTCTTGCATGACTCCTCCCATAAGCGGGACTGGGCTGTGGTGGACCTCCTCCTCCTGATCCTCTGTGTGTCTGTCTCTCCCCGACTCTGTCTCTTTGACTCCCCTGAGGGAGAGCTACAACGTCCTATATTGAGGAGCCGTCAGGTTGAGCTGATCAGGGAAGGGGGCGGCGAAGGTCTCCTTACATTTGACCTCGCTAATGTAGGGTCAGGTCTGGACTTTTTCTGAAACTAAAGTTGTTGTAGGCAGGTGGCCTCTTCTGCTGACTGGGTTGGTGTTAACATAGTTGGTGGGGCCGTGTGATGATTTGTCCCCTTGACCTGGGCTGCGAGGGGTCTCTTTACATTTGACCTCGCTAATGTGAGGTCAGGTTTGAACTTCTTCTGCGATGTAGGTTATTGTGTATATTGGGAGAGAGTCGGCAGGTGGCTTCTTACATATTTGTTGGGGCCGTGTGACACGGAAGGGATGCTGGTTGATTTGTGGCTCCTTGAGTGTGCAGAGGTACTTACATTTGACCTCCCTGTCGGGTCAGGTCTGGACTGTTTCTGAGATATAGCTATGGTCTACAGTAACAACCCATCACTAAATTATTATTATTATTATTATTATTATTATTATTATATTATTGTAACTATTTAAATTATTATTCATTATTATTATTATCATCATCAATATGGGACACAACGGTCCATTATATAAAGTCCATTAGATATAAAAGAACCCTCCATATAACGGACTACACCCCATGGATTAGTGTCCGTATAAATGGAAGTAAGCTATTTTTTTTTTTTTACGAATTCAGTTATGATTATGTCAAGAGTTTGTAGTTTTGAGCACAACTTGTGGAGGAGTGAGTTGAGAGGAGCAACTTGTAACGGTATTGGTCATGCGGTATCTTGCCTCAGAACCAAACACACTTACAACAAACACAAACATCACTCTTATTGCTCAGGGTTTTATTAAACATTTTAAAACATTCAGATACAAACTTTCACTTCAGAAATCTTTAAATTTTAAGTTGTGTTCGAGGTCCAGGTGTTGTAGGTTGTGTTCGAGGTCCATAGGTGTTGAGGTTGTGTTCGAGGTCCATAGGTGTTGTAGGTTGTGTTCTGAGATACATAGGTGTTGTAGGTTGTGTTCTGAGGTCCATAGGTGTTGTAGGTTGTGTTCTGAGGTCCATAGGTGTTGTAGGTTGTGTTCCAGGTCCCATAGGTGTTGTAGGTTGTGTTCTGAGGTCCATAGGTGTTGTTGTAGGTTGTGTTCTGAGATACATAGGTGTTGTAGGTTTGTGTTCCTGAGGTCCATAGGTGTTGTAGGTTGTGTTCTGAGATCCATAGGTGTTGTAGGTTGTGTTCTGGGGTCCATAGGTGTTGTAGGTTGTGTTCTGAGGTCTATAGGTGTTGTAGGTTGTGTTCTGAGGGTCCATAGGTGTTGTAGGTTGTGTTCTGAGGTCCATAGGTGTTGGGTTGTGTTCTGAGGTCCATAGGTGTTGTAGGTTGTGTTCTAGGGTCCATAGGTGTTGTAGGTTGTGTTCTGAGGTCCATAGGTGTTGTAGGTGTGTTCTGAGGTCCATAGGTGTTGTAGGCTGTGTTCTGAGGTCTATAGGTGTTGTAGGTTGTGTTCTGAGATCCATAGGTGTTGTAGGTTGTGTTCTGAGGTCCATAGGTGTTGTAGGTTGTGTTCTGAGGTCCATAGGTGTTGTAGGTTGTGTTCTGAGATACATAGGTGTTGTAGGTTGTGTTTCAGGGTCCATGCATTGTTTGTGGTTGTGTTCTGAGGTCCATAGGTGTTGTAGGTTGTGTTCTGAGGTCCATAGGTGTTGTAGGTTGTGTTCTGAGGTCATATAGGTGTTGTAGGTTGTGTTCTAGGTCCATAGATATTTGTAGGTTGTGTTCTGAGGTCCAGAGGTGTTGTAGGTTGTGTTCTGAGGTCATAGGTGTTGGGTTGTGTTCTGAGGTCCATAGGTGTTGTAGGTTGTGTTCCAGTCTTTCATGGTACATATTTAATCGTATCACATATCAACTTTTTCTGAGACAAAACTAAAAATTAATAAAAATTTGAATGTGTTATATTATTTCATGAGTTGAATAATGTGATAATATTTTTTCCCTGTAAGTTCAGATCAAAAGCATCATGTTAATTACTATCATGTTTGAGACTACAGGGTTTTCAAAATTCATAGTTCAATTTATGAAGTCTTTACATCTATAAATACTTTGATTTTGAATAATTAGTCTCACCAAAATAATAAAATTATATTGTGCATAATTTTACTACGTCTTGTGTGTTCATGGAAGCTTATTTTCAAACGCTATCGGCTTTTATTTTGCTACGTACTTTGTTACTTTGTTTTAATTGTAGTGTAATTACGTGGGTTTTTTCTACAATAGTCAATAGCCTAGTGTCCCTGTATAGCCTACAATAGTCTAGTTATGCATTTTTTTCTTTCAGTAAGTTTTTTTTTTATGGAGTGGTTTTATGTAAACACCAGAAATACGGGAGGGCGGGGGATATACGATCGAAGAAATAAACAATGAAATAAAGATCAAAAAAATCGAAGAGGGAGGAGAATCGTCATTTAATTCACTGTAAGTTTGGATACGTTTTAAAATTATCATAACCGCTCTTGTCTATTTTCAAATGTAGTCATGGAATAAATACTAATGAAACTATTTTGCTTACTTTCTTCTCATTATTAATCACTATGGAAAAAGAACAAATCCATTCTATTCAACTAAAAACAGAAATTTATAATGGGTAAAATCCGTTATATTAGACTACGCTTAGGAGTAACTTCTGCAAGGATTTCCGTTTCTCGATTTGTTGTTACGCTCCCCAACCTTTTAAAAATAACCTTGTGGTAAATGTATATAAAACTGTCTTAAATTATAGGCACATCCCCGAATAATTACGTTTGTAAATAATACTGTTTTACATTAAGGCATCGTCCTATAATCCCTTAAAACCTTAAAATAGATGTGTGACAGTAAACATTAGCTGATACTAAAAAACAAACACATTCGACTATCTAAAAATAACATTAAACCTGTTACATAATATTTAAATGATTTTTAGTCTATTTACTCAGCGATAACTATCATGTTGTATCATGTTGAACTAACCTCTTTGATAAACTCGACTCAAACAACTTCCAATCCTGTCAACATCCAGCCATTTCAGTTTATTGGTGTTATTTCAACCAGTTTTGTTAATTTGTTTTGTTACGGAAATACTAGTATCATATCTCTTGTTTTTTTTTTCTGTTTGTTTGTTTACTTAACGCCCGATGAGAATAAATACTTTGGTTAATATTAGGATAGAAGAGTTGGAATAAAACTGATATTGAAAACACACACGCACACACACCCCCCCTCTCTGCACCACACCTACCCACCTCTCCACCACACCTAACCCACACAAAAATAGAACGATAACCACACCATCTGATAAAGCAATATTCTCAAAAATAATAAATCAACAACTTTCTTATATTAGTTTACTACAATAAGTCCCCCCTTACCTCCTCCCTCTCCTCCATTGCTACACAAGATAATAATAATAATAATAATAATAATAATAATAATAATAATAATAATAATAATAATAATAATAATAACAAAATAAATAATATTCCTCCCAAGCCACAACAAACTGGTGACGAGTGTGATGGCAGCCAACAGTAATCAATTCGCTTGTCAAATTTCCTAACTGATATCATGATGGCATTGTCGAAACTCTCTTAACAGTGATCAAATTTACATTACGAGAGGGAGTGAGGGGGTGGGGAGGGTAGAGGGAGTGGGAGAGTAAGAGGGAGTGGGGAGAGAGTGAGAGGGGTGGGAGAGAGTAAGAGGAGTGGGGAGAGTAAGAGGAGTGGGAGAGAGTAGAGAAGTGGGAGAGTAAGAGGAGTGGGAGAGAGTAAGAGGAGTGGGAGGAGAGAGTAAGAGGAGTGGGAGAGAGTAAGATGGAGTGGGAGAGAGCGAGTGAGTGAGTGTTCCTGCCAATATCATGAAGTAACTAAAATAGCTTAGTCTCTCTTACGTTTTCTGTGCGGCATCTATCTTTCCGTATTCTATGTTTGAACTGTTATAAAACGAGATATAAATTTTACCAGTGGCATAATTATTATCGTTCAGTATAATCGTCATACAAGGTAAATAAGACACATACTGATTAATCATTTACCCAAGACAGTGCAGGTATAAACACAATTATAAGCATTACGTTGATATAACCACGACATTGAATGATGATGATTATAAAAAGATTATATCCACCAGTCGTTTCCTCCTGGTAATTTGAGATAAGAAAATGTAAAATGTCTCCATGGAACTTTCTACAATGTCGACAACCACTGAAGTCAGCCAATCTTTGTGTAGTAGCTGAAGTAAGGACTCCCAGCACAACTTAACACACACACACACACACACACACACACACACACACACACAGTCTCTCCTTGAGTGTAAAAGCAACAATATTTTACCAATGTTACCGTACCTTTACTGGTTATATACACAGGTGTGGCGTTGAACAGGTGTGGCATTGGACAGATGTAGCAATGAACAGGTGTGGCATTGGACATGTGTGGCATTGGACAGGTGTGGCATTGGACAGGTGTAGCGTTGGACAGGTGTAGCGTTCAACAGGCGTAGCGTTGGATACGTGTAATATTGGACAGGTATAGCGTTGAACAGGTGTGGCATTGGACAGGTGTGGCATTGGTCAAGTGTGGCATTGGACAAGTGTAGCATTGGACAGATGTAATGTTGGACAGGTGTAGTGTTGGATAGGTGTAATATTGGACAGCTGTAATGTTGGAAGTGTAGCATTGAAGAGGTGTAGCGTTGGACAGGTGTAGCGTTGGACAGATGTTGCACTGGACAGGTGTGGTGTGTAATGATGCGTATTTTATTATATCAATACAGCCAAGTGACCTTCAGAGAGTGGGAATTTGTCCTTGAGAGAGAGAGAGAGAGAGAGAAAGAGGAGAATTATAAAGAAACAGGAGAGAGTGAAAAACGCTACAAATAATGAGAATGAGAAAAACAATCAAGAGAAGAAAGAAAACAACAACAAAATAATCAAAACAATAAGAACTAGAACAACAACAACAAAAACAAGCACAATCCGATAAAACAAGACTTCATAATCAACACACACCCCACACACCAGCTCCCACACACCAGCTCCCCACACCAAGTCCCACACACCAGCCCCCACACCAGCCCCACACACCAGCCCCACACACCAGCTCCCCACACACCAGCTCCCACACACCAGCTCCCCACACACCAGCCCCACACACCAGCCCCACACAACAGCCCCACACAGCCCCACACACCAGCCCCACACACCCACCAGCTCCCCACACACAACCACACACACACACCCACACACCACACACACCCACACACCAGCTCCCACACCAGCCCACATTACACAGGAAGCAGACACGACCAACCATGAAAACAGTCTAACCAAACCCAACCAAACCTAACCTAACCAAACCCAACCAAACCAAAACCGAACCTAACCCAATCCAACCAAACCCAACCAAACCCAACCAAACCCAACCCAACCAAACCAACCTAACCTAACCCAACCTAACCAAACCCAACTCAACCAAACCAAACCGAACCCAACTCAACCCAACCCAACCTAACCAAACCAAAACCGAACCTAACCCAACCAAACCCAACCTAACCAAACCCAACCTAACCAAACCCAACCTCAACCAAACCAAACCGAACCCAACCAAACCCAACCAAACCCAACAAAACCCAACCCAACTCCAATCCTAACCAAACCCAACTCAACTCAACCAAACCCAACCCAACCGAACCTAACCCAACCAAACCAAACCGAACCCAACCCAACCAAACCCAACCAAACCAAACCGAACCAAACCAAACCAAACCCAAGAACCCCAACCAAACCCAACCAAACCCAATCCAATCCCAACCAACCTAACCAAACCCAACCAAACCAACCCAACCAAACCAAACCGAACCAACCCAACCAAACCAAACCCAACCCAACCAAACCCAACTCAATCCAACTCAAATCAAACCAAACCAACCAACCCAACGAAACCCAACGAAACCCAAACAAACCCAACCAAACCCAACTCAACCAAACCCAACCAAACCCAACTCAACCAAACCCAACCAAACCCAACCAACCAAACCCCAATCAAACCAAACCGAACCTCAACCAAACCCAACCAAACCAACCCAACCAAACCCAACCTAACCTAACTGAACCCAACCAAACCCAACCAAACCCAACAAAAACCCAACCTAATCCAACTCAACCAAACCCAACCCAACCCAACCAAACCTATCCCAACCGAACCTAACCCAACCAAACCAAACCGAACCTAACCTAACCAAACCCAACCAAACCAAACCGAACTCAACTAACCAACCCAACCCAACCAAACCTAACCAAACCCAACCAAACCCAAACCTAACTCAACTTCAAACCAAACCCAACCAAACCCAACCCAACCAAACCAAACCGAAACTCAACCCAACCAAACCAAAACCTAACCAACCAAAACCATACCCAACTCAACTCAACCAAACCAAACCGAACCTAAACCTAACGAAACCCAACGAAATCCAAACCCAACCAAACCCAACCTAACCAAACCTAACCAAACCTAACCTAACCAAACCCAACCAAACCAAACCGAACCCAACCAAACCCAACCCAAACCCAACCCAACCAAACCCAACCCAACCCAACCAAACCCAAACCCAACCAAACCCAACCCAACCAAACCCAACCAACCTAACCTAACCCAACCAAACCAAACCGAACCTAACCTAACTCAAC